CGCCCATACGCCCAGTTAGTCCCGTCACCCACACCTACCTCACTCATCAGGTTCATTCATTCCCCTTGGCTTCATCGCCCGCGTCCAGCAATCCCAAAGTCACAGTGTGTCCACCACCAAGCCGCCCTCGTCCTGTCTTGTCCTGCCGTGCTCGTCCCTCAGGTCGTCAATTCTCCACAATTGGTCGCCTCCTCCCGTCAGGGCCCTCCACTTCTTTGCTCACCTCACCAACTGCTCCCCACGGACCAACAGAGTGAAGCGACCGGTCATCCCTCGGAACTTCGTCACTTTTTTTGGACCATAACGTCCAGCCCGTCCACCGTGGGCACTCTGGGAGTCTGCACAGCGACCAGCGGCTTGTTTTTTCCCCAGCTCTTTCCCCATCGTTATCATCATCAGCAGTCAACCCTGCTCCTGCTGTTGATTTTCCTCCGACTTTCTTTCTTCTTCCATCATTCCTGGCAAGAACTTCATCCTTTCCGAACCAAAGAAACTCGCGTCGCGTCATAGCCTCTTCGATGTAGCAAAGAGGCCCTCCCAACGGATACAGCACCGCACAGCACAGCACAGTACACACATACGCCTGCCGCAGTACCTCCCATACCCATACCGTCCGTCCTGCCATCAAACGAATCCTCGACGACCCCCGTCCATTTCGTACGCTGTACCCATACCAGCCACACTTTGCGCACGACTCGGGAAATCTAGGCCGGAGACCCTGTGGTCCCTCTCCAAGGTTAGCTAGCGGTATCCGTACCGCAGCAGCGACAAGCCGCCCGTGGCAGAGCCCAGAGGCAAAGACCGCAAAAGCTGGTCTTACCCACTCACGTCGTCAATCTGCAGCCCACTCCCAGACACCACCACCACCGGTCCACCACTGGCTCCGGCAACCAAATCCAAGGGCCGCACACAGCACACAGCGCACACTCTTTGCTGAGGGAACGCTGAAAGCCGATAACACTGGGCTTGCACTCTTCTTTCCCTCGCTCACTCCCTCCTTTTTCACGCTCCCTCTATCCTCCTTCTCAGGGCTGGATCGATCACGGATACGTTGGGACTAACCCCGAACTCCACTGTTTGGATTTGGGAACCCTCCACCCTCCATCATCTCCCCCCCAAAACCAAAGTACAGCCGGGCACGTACTCAGTACAGTACAGACAGCACTACGTACCCAGCAGCACTACCAGCACCCACCTCAGCGCTCAGCGCCCAGCACACCGGCACAGCGAAAGCCTGCGAAACCACCTTCCGCCTTCCCTCCATCATCGAACCTTCCTTCCTCGCCCTCACCCTCCGCCCTCGCCCTTCTTCTCTGTCTCCAAAGGTGATTCTCTCGACACCGGCAAGACAAGAGGAAAATCATGTCGACTCCCACAACGGCCACAGCGACATTGCCTCCTCATTCGCATTACCATCATCCCCATTATCCCTACTCACATCAGCCGTACCAGGCCTCTACTGCTACCGGCTCTTCGTACCGACAGCCAGCGAACCCAATCCTCTCAACTTCCTCATCCACAGCAACGACGAGATTGCCTCCCGCATACGCCAACTCGTCGAGCATCGCCTATTCTGCATCCTCTACTGCGAGTCACGCCGACCCAAATGGCCTAGGCCCTTCAGCCTCGTCAGCCAGTTCGAGGACCATTCACGACGTCTCGAGTCCCGACGCGAACTACTCGCTCACCACCAACTCCACCATGCCTGCCACCAGCTCACTCTCCCAGTCCTCTCAGTCCGCTCGCAAGCGAAGACGATCAAAGGAGCCTGACTGGAACAAATTTTATAAGAATGGCCTGCCCAAGGAAATCATCGTCATCGATGATACCCCAGAGCCAGAGCAGGGCAAAGCCGTCGGCAACGGCGTAAGGGTCGTCTCCAATGGTAACGGCAGCGTGAACGGCGCCACCACAAATGGTGCCAGCAGCCGACCTGTTCCCAAGAAGAGGAAAAGAGACGACGAGCCTCAGCACTACGATCCCGTCTATCACAACAAGTACGCCGGTTCTCACACTACCACTCCTCATCACAACGGCACCCCCAGCGGATCGACTATATCAACCGACCGCACTACAAACTCCGCCATCCACACCACCGCTGCCACGTCCCTCTCTTCAAATGGACACGAGTACTACGATGCTCAACCTGGTCAGAAGCGTAAGAGAACCCGTCAACAGATTGCTCAAGAGGCAAAGAAGAGAGAGGTCGAGGGCCTCGGCGATCCATTCCTTACCTACAAGCCGCCTCCTTACCCTCCCAAGAAAGCACCCGACGTTCACGTTCGGTTGGTTCAGGATGTGAGTATCATCGTCTCGTCGTAAGACGATTTTCATCCATTTGCTAATGTTCTCCCAGCAGGGTTACAACAAGAATGCCAAAGTCGACGATGATGATGGACACTACATTGTCGTTCCTGACGCCGACCTTACGGATAAGTGTATGTTGAACACACTCAATCTGATGAACCACCAGGGACTAACCTTCAATGCAGACCAGATGGTGAAGCTACTCGGGCAAGGGACGTTTGGCAAAGTCGTCCAGGCTCGAGACCGTAAGAGAAACAAGTCGGTGGCCATCAAAATTATTCGGTCTGTCCAAAAATACCGAGATGCCTCGCGAATAGAACTCCGAGTTCTCGCAACACTCAAGGCCAACGATGACGAAAACCGCAATCGCTGTATCCACCTCAGGGACTGTTTCGACTACCGCGGCCACATTTGCATCGTCATGGACCTTCTTGGCCAAAGCGTTTTTGATTTCCTCAAGAGCAACAGTTTCGTCCCCTTCCCCAACAGCCAGATTCAGAGCTTTGCTCGACAGCTCTTCACCAGCGTTGCCTGTAAGTCTGCCATAAGCTCTGCAATAAGTCCTTCGCTAACAGACTGCAGTCTTGCACGATCTCAACCTCATCCACACTGATCTGAAGCCTGAGAACATTCTTTTGTGCGACAGCGCCTACCAGACCTTCACCTACAACCGAAAGATACCCTCCTCTTCTACAACCGTCAACCGGCAGGCGAATCAGCGCAGAGTACTGCTCGACACGGAAATTCGCTTGATTGATTTCGGCAGTGCCACTTTCCAAGACGAATACCACAGCTCCGTCGTCAGTACCCGTCATTACCGAGCGCCAGAAATCATTTTGGGACTTGGGTGGTCATTTCCCTGCGACATCTGGAGCATAGGATGCATATTAGTCGAGTTCTTCACCGGCGATGCCCTTTTCCAAACACACGACAACCTCGAGCACCTCGCAATGATGGAAATGGTCGTTGGGCAAAGGATAGACTCCAGCCTCGTCCAAGCTGTGAACAAGATGGCTACTAGGAGTGGTGGAAACCCCGCCTCGAAGTGAGTGGTTCATGGCCCTGTTGAGCAAGGGCAACGCATACTGATACAGTGCAGGTACTTCAAGCGCTTGAAACTTGACTATCCTACACCCGAGACAACACGAGCTTCCAAGAGATTCGTCAAGGCTATGAGACGATTGGAGGTAGGCAAAACAGGCTCACAGAGTCCTGAAAGACGGCTCACTAACGATTTGTAGGATATCATCCCATCGAACTCAACCTACTTCAAGAACTTCCTGGACCTCCTTCGGAAGATCTTTGTCTACGATCCCCAGCATCGCATTACAGCGAAGCAGGCATTGCAACATCCTTGGTTCAAGGAACCAGCGACACCGGACGATGGTACGGAAGCGGCCAAGATCCGCCTAGAGCGAATGAGACAGGAGGGTGATCACCGATACCACGCATGATTCCCAGCCTACGAAGCTGTTTTCGAACCCTTACGTCTATAACGAACAAAGCTGAGCATGATATGGGAGTTGGGCCGTTTGATATCTGGTCTGTACGATGGGGGCCGACGGAATTGGAAGGGCATGGCGCTCGTGCGACTTGATTTTTTTCCGGCATGGGCCTCATCAAAGGTCAGCCATGTTCTGCCCTTTAATAACAAAAGGCTTGATGGCATGCGGGGGTTTTTTGGGTTGTGTTTCGCGGGATAAGGGTCAAACTCGCAGCAGTACGAGAGAGTAGCACGAACGGTCAAGCCACGCCCTGGACAGCGTTGCTAGTAGAGACGTTTCGATGAGAGAGATGTCGTGCCTTGTCGCCAGGCTCAATAGAGCGATTCTCATGACCGACGCAAGCCTTCCCGGCTTGCCAACCACTTCTTCAGTCTTCTGGAGTGACCGCTGATCGATGCTTTCAACTTTTTTTTTTCGGAGACCGTAACTGATTTGAGTAGACTGTTTCAACATCACAGGATCCAGGAACGAGACTATGTCTAGCAGAACCGCCTTGTGAGTCGTTCCTAGCACAGTAGCTACTTTGTTGAGCACGTCGCTTACATCAGCCCACTCATTTTTAGGCTCGATCAAACGATGCGTCTGTTTCCATCGCTAATCACGAGTCACGAATCAGTGGTTGCCGCCACAAATCAAACCAAACGCCGGGGACTTCTCCACACGTGACCAACTACAAGTGCGGCGATGATTCCCAGCCCTCTGTTATCCCTGGCTTTATTGGTCGATGTCGATGCAAATGTGACCGCAGCCGCGGCCTAGGTCATTTTGCCCGCCTCTCTCAGATTGACGAACGACGGCGACAAACACCCGTAAAAGAGAGCCTCCGCACTTGTTCTGCGGTTTAGAATTGAGGAAGATTTCGACAAAGCTGGACAATGCTCTCTCTCTTTGTTTGTCACAGCCCAATACTGCTCTCCCGCGCCAAAGTTACCTGTTTCTTTTGCATTGTGTTGCTTGAACCCAAAGAAACAGCTTGTTGTCCTTGGTCAAGCAAGTTATGGTTCAAAGACATTGTCAACTTCGAGATTGTTCGGTAATGATGTGGCTATTCCATCGTAAGCGAGTATAGAAAGACTGCCCGTTGCAGCTCTTGGATCGCAGTCAGCGAAAACAAACAGCCTCAAAACTAGTGACACCTATACCGAAACTTTTAACGATTCACTCAAAATTTCTCATCAACTTATCACCATGTCCAGCCCGTACCAAAGTGTACACGATTTAACAAACGCATCGGTGAAGAAGTTGGTTCGATACCTTTATCTCCCGGTGGAGCACAGCATTGCGAAACCCCCAAAAAGTTGGCTGAGGGAGCAAGAGGAGACGATGAAACAACTGCCCGCGGCTTGTCTCCGTCCACGCAGCAAGACCAACGTAGTCAGCGTTGTTACTCGCGGTTTGATGAAGATCAGCGAGAAGTATAACCCTTCGTTCACACCGCCGGCCGCAGTCCTTTGCTCAAGCCATCGCGGCCTGAATCCTTGGACAATTCACGCCCTTTTTGCACTGGTTCTGAAAGAGATCACAGTGGAAACGGCCAGCTTGCGACATGATCGACAACGCGACAGAGGTCCGGAATTTACACCCTTGATACAAGAATTCGTTCGTCGTCTGGATGGTATCCAGGCCTTGTGGATGGACACGTACAACTTTGAACTCCTCTATGGTCGCCAGCCGAAAGTGCTAAGCCATGTAAATTCACATTGTGAGGCGTGCATCTTGTCAGCACTCGGATCTCGTCCCTCTTTCCTTGGCGACCTTCGTGCTAATCTCATTGCCCGGACGAAGAGAACGTCGCCATGCCTGCAAAGGATCGTGGACGCGTGGATTAACGAGTTCCCTGAGGCTGCACAAAGAGAAGTCTTTAAAAGAAGCGCAAACTTAGCCGAGGAAATTCGGGCTATGCTCAAAGATGTCAAGGCAGCGCGACAACAGAGACGCGAAGCAAAAGTGCACCAAAAGCAAGCCAGGGGGTCAGAGAATGCCAGCAGTGGTACCAGGAAGACATCCGGACGCGATACTCCGCGCTCAATTCCGGGCGAGCAATCGACCGCGAGTGGACGACCTTCCACGACACTGAGCGAGGACCCATTTGTTGACCCAGATGATGAAAACCCCGACAATGAGAATCGGCCGTGGCAAGATGCGGTTGGGGACTATTACGAACGGCTGGCCCGCCAGAACGGAAACGAGCGTGCTTTCGACCGTTCATCCCTCCACCCGGCCTTTGGCGGCTCGGCGGCTCAACCCGATGCCCAGTTCCGTCGAGACTTTGGCACGGGAAAAGAGGTGGATCGGAAAGAACAAGGGGCTCTCTGGGATGACGCTGTTGCTAATAGTCCCGCTAGGAGTGAACAGCGTTTACGCGCATCTGATTTCCCCCCCTCGATGATTCAAGACGATGCCCGACGGCGTGATCGGTTCCGACACGTAGACTCCACGGACTCCGAGCCGCGCACTCCTCGACCTACCACGCCTCCCGCCGCTACCCTCCCACCGCCGTTCCGTGGGTACGGCACCGCAGCGCCGAGCAGCTCGTCGTATACGGACGCCAGCGTGTACTCGAACAGCGAGCCGGCCCGGCCTCACCCGACGACCGAATCGCTCGCCTCCATCGTCACGGCCTGGCCCGACGTCACGTCTCGCTCGTCTTCCGCCCGTAGACCCCGTGGACCCCGTCCGGGCGGGCTCGTAAGTACTTCCTCCCCCTCGCCTCAGAATGACAATGTCGTGACACAGGACCGCCGCCGCGCCACAGATTCGAAATTTGCTCCCCCTCGCGGGTTCGAGATGTCCCCCGCTGAAGCAGCATGGTATCTAGCCGAGGAAGAGAGGGTAGCTCGCCTAGAGGAGATGGGACGTATCGGCCGACCGAGTTTCAAGGATCATGTTGACTCTCGTGCTGCTGCGTCGGAGGCCGGATCAGACCAATACGAGAACGGCTTGAGAACACCGACGGCGGGCTCTACGCAAGATGGTACTTGGGCTCCGTCGTCTCGTGAGCGACCTGTGCGAGATATGTCGCGTGGCGATGACGGTGACGATTGGCGCAGCGTCGCGACGGTGGGGGGACGGCCGCCTTTGAGTGAGGCGTCGACGATTTATCCGGATGATTCGTATAGTTTGGCTCATTTCCGACGGTGATGGGGTCAAGGTAGGTAGGCGTTTTAGTTTGTAGACTTGCTACAAACATGGCATGTTCAATGGAGTCTCATGTTCAAGAATGGTTGAAAACGCAGTACACGGTTCGTTCAAGATATGGTTGCCAACCTAAAGCAAGGCACGAACATCACGAGCTTGGGAGAGTAGGCACATGATTTGATGAACAAGATTGAGTGAGCTATCTACCGTTGCAGTATTAAGGGTAGGAAACACAAAAGAAAGAGAAAGAAAAGAAAAAGCAAAACAAGACCGGCCCTTGCACTTTTGGGGCATTCCTTTCCTCCTCCACTTCTCTCTCTCTCCTCTTCGTGACCACTTCCTGTCCGAGAAGAGAAGATCCTAATGTCCATGGCTATGCCCATAGCAATCATTTACTGGGGGACGACAAAGTCTTGTGTCCCCGAGATCAGCAAGGTATGGTCCATGGTCGCCGTGTCACAATCGTATCTGCCCACCTCGCCGGCACGTCTTCCATGAGATCCTATTGATCTCCGAAAAACATGGCTGTCGCGAAAAGGCCTGGGTAGAAGAAGAAACCTTGTGTTTGTCAAGGCGTAAAGAAGGTGTGTACTCTGACATCCAATTAGGGAAGGGGTTTTTTTGATGACGGGAGGTGCGAAACAAGACTGAAAGAAAAAGAGCAAATGGAAAGCCAGTGAAGAGCTCTCGGACGCGGAAGTCGTGTGCGCGTTGCTGTCAGATGCCGATATGAAGCTGCCGAGTGAAGCTGCTAGTTCGGATCATTGTTGCAAAGCCACGAGACGTCGGTGTCCAAAGGTTTCTTCTTGGCTTCGAAGACGGGTCGTGCAATAGGGGAAGTTCGGGAATTGTTTTTGGCAATCTGTTGAGTCTGGCTCTGTCTCGGTGACTGATTCTGTCTTTTAAAATGTCAGCTTGGACTGGTCTCATAAAGCTAAGTGCCGTTAACTACTAACCTCCAAAAGTGCCATTATCGATCGAAACAACCAACATCGGGTCTTCGTTCGATTGTGGTCAGTCTGCAAGAAGCCACTGATACTTGAGCGCATAATGTCAGGATGTGGCCTTGCTCAGCAATGCTTAGGCTCCGAAGACATCGTCGCTGTCGCTGTCATGGCTACCATCGTCGTGCTGCTGATCCTCGGGGGCATCGGGAGACTTGGCTCTTCGGGCACCAGGCGAATGGCGCTTTCCAGGGTAGTCGTAGGAGCACTCGGAGTCGTCTGCCACGTAGAATGTTTTGCAGGGGATCTTGTTGGCCCAGTGCTGCCAGATGACCTGGTCGTACCAATCGGCGCCGTGGGGTTGCTTCACCTTGTAAACCTGGTTCAGACGACCGGCCTTTTCGAACTGGAAAGACGACATGAAGTCGTCCATCCACTTGAGGCCCTGTCCGCCCTCGCTCTGGGCCATCGTGTGTACAACAACACCTAGCAAAGCCAATTAGCTATCGAATCTGAGATACCTTTCACATCCGACTACTTACGATGAATGTTCCGGAAGTCGGGCTTGTAGAACGCGTCCTCTCCAGCTTTCGGATCAGCCCACTGGCACTCGACAAAGCCGTGGTACAAGATGGAAACTTGACTGAGGAGTTGATGAAGAAGGGCACTTCCGATCCGACCACGTCGATGCTCAGGATGAACAAAGATTGTAGCCTTGACAGTCGGGGTCGCGTTGCCGGTGAGTCCTCCGATACCTGTCTCGTACGGACGGAGGTAGGCGAATCCGTAGACAGTAGTCTCAGGGGACGACACCTTTACAGGCTGAGACTGCATCCACTTCATGTACTGTCGGTAAGCATCGCGAGACGGCCAGTTGCCGGGGTCTTTCAAGTCAGTCGTCTTAGTTGTCGCAACGATGAATGGAAGCTTTTGTCTCTTGCACTCGATCATGATGTACTCGAACCGCTCAACAGACACCGGATAGGTATCTGTCACCAGAGGATCCTTACCGACAGCCAGGTTGTACATCTCGGCACAAGCTCCGGCATCTGAAGGCTGGGCAGGACGAAGGACGCAGTCTGCTAGACGGCTGCTTTCGTCCAAGGTAGGCGCCACTACGGTTTTCATCTTCGTGGGCGACGCAGCATCTTTCTTGTAGTCACGATCCCGAAGAATGGCCATTTCGTGGTGGGCCCGCTCCTCCTCCTGCAAGCGTTGACGAATGGCGATGTTCTGTCGAACCATGATCTCGCGATGAACGAGCAGGTTACTGGTCCATTCGCGGCGACGTTGAATCATCTCGGGTGTCATATTCTTCTCGTCCATAATATCGGCTTTTGTGGGCGGCTGCTCGATGCGGTCGATGAGCTTTCCAGTGTCGGTGCTAACATCGTGGTGGTGATGATCCTGATTCTCGTCGAGGAAGGAAGTGACGAGCGGGCCATCCAGAGTATAAAGCCAAGTCAAAAAAGACGGCGTGCCAGTGACTTTCGTCTCGGATCGAGCGACTCCGTTGGAATCCTCTCTGTCCTGACCCGATGAAGCTCTGCCATTGTTGCTCACATCCCAAGACGAGTGGCTCTTCTTCGATTTGGTAGTGACGCCCATTCTCTCCGGAAGATTCTCTAGAGCCATGGGTGTCAGGGGCGCAGACTTATTCAATGTGCCCGAAAGAGCAACGCGCGAGCTAGCATCATCTGTTGAAGACGCGGTATCCGACTCTGCGTAGTAGCTAGTAGTCGTGGCTGGCCCCTGGCTTTCGGTAACTGGGTCTTCGATCTTGGACTCGACTTTTGCTCCAGCCTTGGCCTTGGTCTTGGCGAGTCTCTTATGAGGAGGAATGTAGTCGCTCGGCATCGGAAGGGTAGAGGCCATCGTATCGTTCTCGTCGTCGTCGGCGTCGGATTGGATCTTCGAACGCTGAGCAGCAATCTTTGCCTCTCTCTGCCTCCGGGTTCTCTCAAAACTTCTTGCAACGTAGGCTCGGCGCTCGGCGAGGTAATCGTAGTCAGCGTTCTCTAAGCCAGCATTGTAAATATCTCCACCGGGGGCTCTGCGGGTGTTGAATTCGAAAGAAATTCGCCGAGCTCCAGGGCTGGAAGTGGGGTTATTCAAGAAGGCAGGAGGTGTCAGCCTTCTCTGGGGGACCGGAAGATTCATGACCCATCGAATAGAAGTCGATCTTTCGATCGGCTGAGTGAGCTTTCCAGAAGGGCTGCTTGAGGAAAGAGCCGCTGCCTGGGCCTTTCCATTAGCGCTACTCACAGCCACGGCCGGGCTGGGAGGATAGAACGTGAACCGAGCTGAGCCAGCCTCCTGGGGATACAAGCCGACGGAAGACCAAGGATAAGGACTGTCCACTCTGGAAATGCCTTCGCCACGATACTCTTCATCGTAGCTACACTGGCTCTTGTTGTCATTAGCTCGCTTCTCGGTGCTGACGGGCTCTTTCGAGAACTTGAGGAGTAAATGCTCTCCACGGCTTCCCTCTTCATGGCTGGACTGGTTCTCTTTGTTGCCAGTCTGGTTCTTCAAGATGATAGAGTCTGCAAGATTTGACGTGGTGAGGTCGATGCATTCGAACTTGCCACACTTATTTTCACCATGGCGAGACTGGTTTTCGTCTTCACCAGTTTGCTCCTCATTGGTGACAGGTCCTTTGGGGATCGAAATGCTGAGATCGAGGTCTTTGGCGTGATCCTTCTCATCATGGCTCAACGGAGTCGCATCCTCGCCAGATAGCTTCGCTGGGATGAAAGGCTTTGCGGAGGCTGACAGTCTGATATTCAGTGATCTACCACGATTCTTTTCAACGTGGCTGAAATGGATTATGTTTCCGCCGGTCTTCTTGTCCGGGGTAATGCCTCCCTTTGAGTCTGGCATCTTGTAACCGGTGTGTGCTTTGGCCAAAGACAATGAGCCTTGTATCTAGCCGAAGAATGGGTATTAGAAAAATGAGCACACTTATGTCTTCTTTTGAGTGAATTTACTCACCTAGTTGTTGGTTACGGCAGTGTTGATGTAGAAGCGCAGATACGTCAAGGAGTATCTGCGCGAGGTTGTATGGTGAGAGCGCGTCGGACTTGAACCAAGGCACCCTGAAGCAAAGGTGAATTTTCTGGTGTCGATTTGTAGAGATGAAGCGATAGCTGAAATATCAGCTGGCTCTCTGGAATTAGTGAAAGATTACAAAACCCCTTCTGTCGATGAAGAGGATGGACAGTTCAAGGGAAGTAAGAAGCTTTCGGTGTGTAGCGGTTTGAGTGAGAAAGGGTAGAGTTGGGTCAGAGATACATCGGAGAGAGGAAGGGAAGTGGGTGGGGTGTGCGGTAGGAAATATTTTGAAGGTGAAATTTCTAGGCAAGTCGGAGGAAGGTACAACGGCACACCTGTTCGGGGCAGGCACAGGCTTCTCCCGGAAGCCCCTTTCCTCTTACCACCTACCTCATACCAAATATATGCGTTCGAACGCTCCATTTCCATTGATAGAAATCGGGCTCAAGAGATGCCTGAAAACTTTTTCTCTTGAAGGCAATTCTGTTCATTCTGATGTGAGGCAATTGATGATTGATTCTCCCTACGCAGTATTAGACCACCAAGGCCACTCTTTTGTCCATGAGACTCCGACCAAGTCCCTCTGATATATCATAATGTATATATCAGGCATAGAAATATTATTATGACCATCTTGGGATATCGTTGTGGCGTGGTGAGAAATACCCATCATGTACATTTGGCGATGCTTGTGGTTCAAACGCTCGGTGTGCTCGGTAAGCGCTATTGGTAGTTACTTCACCGAGCCCAGACCGATGCTGCGGGGTCACGTGTGGTTGACCGATCCATTCAGGCAGCGCCGATGAACCTCTATCCACTGCACCAGCTCTTATACATGACAAGAAGTTTGCCGTGATGAGCAGTCCCTAAACCTTGAGATCTCGAGAAAGAACACGGTAGTCGATGCATGCCAGGGATAGGATTCCCGTCCGTTCGTCATGTTGTCCATTCTGAGAAAAGCACGTCTCAAAGACAAGGAGATGCGAATCCTGATGCTGTCAGTGA